GACAGAGAGAGAGAGAGACAGAGAGAGACACAGATAGAGAGTGAGGGGGGAGTGTTTTTAAAGCCTTTGTTGTGATGAAAGTGATTCTACATCAGTAATCTGATGCTAATAGGGTTGCGTAGCGGCGATAAGCTATTTAAAGTGTAATTCCACTGTGGTGCTCTCGTCAGTCATAACACCCACACGCTTACACACACACACACACACACACACACACACACGCACACCACACACACGCACACACACACACACACGCACACACTTGTCTCAGTGTCAGTGATGAAGAAGACACTGCACGGGGGCCGCCACGCTAATCTGATTAGCCACACAGAACAGCATGTGCTTTTAGCACCCAGAAACAAAGAGAGAGAGAGAGAGAGAGAGAGAGAGAGAGAGAGAGAGAGAGAGAGAAAGGGAGAGAGAAAAAAGAGGGAGAGAGGGAGATAGAGAGAGAGAATATAAGAATATGGAAAATAGAAAGTAAGAAAGAGAGCAAAATGGGACAAAAGAAGAACAGCAAAAGCTCAAGAGAGTAAGAAAGAGATGGAGAAAGAGGGAGAGAAAGAAAGTGAGAAGGGAGAGAAAGAGAGAGCTAAAATAGAAAAAAAAATTAAAGAGAGAAATGTGGAAAGAGAATAAGAGAAAAAGCAGAGGAGAGGGAGAGTGAGCGGAGAAAAAAAGAATTATGCGTAAAAATAAGAAAATAAAAAAACGAAGCAGAAATGGAGAAAGAAGGAATGAATGAGAGAGAGAGAGAGAGAGACAGGAGAGAAAAAGAGGAAGGGAGAAGGAGAGAGCAAGACTGTGAGAGAGGGCGAGAGAAAAAGAATGAGAGCAAAGAAAAGAGAGAGTGAGAGAGAGAGAGCGAGAGAGAGAGACTGGTTGGTAAAGGGTCAGGTAGAGTTGACTTTAGCAGCAGGTCAGAATGAGTGGACTGTGTTAGGGCCACTACAGTGTGTGTGAGAAACACAGCAGCCCTGAGATTAACTGCACAGCTCAATCGCTCTCTCCACACACACAACACACACACACACACACACACACACAGAGCAGTGTGTGAAGGTCCAGGCACCTGAGCACACTACTCTATCTACTGTTTCAAAGAATAGCTGAGATCTACAGATGGTCTCTAATGAGCTGGTCAGATGATCACAGGTTTGGTTCCTGATTTCTCAGCCATCATCACAGACCTGCTCACATCCATCAGCAGCACAGCTGATCTACCTCAATGATGGACTATTAGTCAAACCAGGTGCTGGATGGTAACGACAGCTAGTGCTGGGCTGCCATGAAGGGAGATCTGGAAATGATTAAACACACTGACATACATAAAATCAATACTTACTGTATTAATGTCACTTTTATTTATTCGAATATTTGTGTTTTCTGATGAAATGAACTTACACTGCTTTTTAAACCTTTTATTTCCAGGTGCCAAAAACATTTGCACAGTACTGTACACACACACACACACTCACACACACACACTCACACACACACACACACGTGTTTACACACCCATGTCTTTTAAGGGTCTTATTTATCAGTGCTATCTCTGCTGTAAGAGAGTTTCATGTTAACATCTGCTAACCTGAAGAACTCAAAGGTTTTGCCTTCAGAACCTGGATTAGACTGATCTTCAGTAAATGAGAGGTTCATTCTACTAAATTTTCTTTCTTTTCATGATTTTTGTGGATGAACTGTACACAGAAATGTGAATGCTGTATTTGATTAACATCAACTTTATTAGAGAAATAAAAGATCAGCTGTTATTCTTTGCAAAACTAGTAATTTTCAAAGTGTTACAAATGGATATATAGCACTTTGGAATGTTTGAAAATGTTTATATAATCAAAATTACAGGTGGCATTTTCAAATGATGTGTGACATATAACTTCACGAACAATGGACCAAAAGAAACGGCCTAAAATGAATTCTGGTTCCATTGACTTACATTAAAAGTAAAGTAGGTTTTTTCGTTCTCCTGTAAAGTTATCATTTTGGAGATACGAGATTTTGGTCCGACAGCAATATGTGTGTATATATATAAACACAGCCCCATTACCAAAAAAACTGGGACGGCAGAATTTAAATAAAAATAAAATGCAATGATATGCAAATCATGTAAACCATAAAGGAAAATACTTCAAGGGAAAGATAACATATCAAATGTTGAAGACATTTTATTAAAATCTTGTTGTTTTTGGAAAAATAAATACCCATTTTGAATTTGATGCCAACAACACGTTCCAAAAAAATTGGGACGGGGGCCTGTTTACCACTGTGTTTCATCACCTCTTCTTTTAACAGCACTCTGTAAGCGTTTGGGAACTGAGGAGACACTGCTGTAGTTTTAAAAGTGAAATGTTTTCCTGTTCTTGTTTGATACAGGATTTCAGCTGCTCAACAGTTCAGGGGCTCATTTGTCGTATATTTCCTTTCATAATGTTTTTCAGTGGTAAAAGATCTGGACTGCAGGCAGGTCAGTTTAGCACCCAGACTCTTTTATTACAGAGCAATCCTGCTGTAATACATGCAGAATGTGGTTTCGCATCGTCTTGCTGAAATAATCAAGGCCTTCCCTGAAAAAGACGTCATCTGGAAGGCAGCATATGTTGCCAAAACATATATATATTTTGTTCAGCATTAATGGTGCCTTTACCCATGTGCACTAATGCCCCCCTGTACCGTTATGAATACTGGCTTTTGAACTGTGCACTGATAACAAACTGAGTGGTCTTTAGCCCAGAGGACACAGTGTCCATGATTTCAAATTTTGATTTGTCAGATCACAGGACACTTTTCCGCTTCACCTCAGTCCATTTTAAATGAGCTTGGGCCCAGAGAAGGTGGCAGCATTTCTGGATCCTGTTTATATGTGATTTTGTCTTTGCTTTTTACTGTTTTAACTTGCATTTGTGGATGCAGCGATACACTGTTTTCACAGACAGTGGTTTTCAGAAGTGTTTCTGAGCCCATGCAGTGATTTCCACTACAGAATCGTATATGGTTTTAAAGCAGTGCCACCTGAGGGCCCAAAGATCACGGTCAGCAAATACTGGTTTTCAGCCTTGTCCCTTGCAGAGTTTTCTCCAGATTCTCTGAATCTTTTAATGTTATTATGTACCGTAGATGATGAAAAGCAGATAAGTTCTTTGCTATTTTATGTTGAGAAACGTTATTCTTGAACTGTTGAATTTGATTGTGCAGTCTTTCATTTCAGAGAGGCAGAGAGGCGGAGTTTTTCACTTCTGAAAGTCTCAGCCTCTCTGAGATGCTCTTTTGGTACCCACTCATGTTATCAGCCTGTTGTCAATCAACCACCAGGTGTTTTTTTTTTAGCATTACACAACTTTACCACCCTTTTGTTGCCCCCGTCCCAACAATTTTGCAACGTGTTATTGGCATCAAATTCAAAATGGGCATATATTTTTCAAAAAAACAAGAAAATCTCTGTTTCAACATTTTATTTGATGTCTTTGTACTATTTTCAATGAAATATAGGGTTTCATTTTGTTTTTATTTACATTTTGCACAGTGTCCCAACTTTTTGGGAAATGGCGTTGTATAAGGGGCTACAGACTACTCAACTTACTGCTCGCCATACACTTTAAGCATGATGTCGACTAGTTTGTGATCCTGTGATTATGACACTAACAACATGGACGCCTCAGAGAAGACAACAGGAGAACAATGCGATTCAGGGCTCGTTGGAAAGAGCACATCATGCTCTACTGACCTGCGGAGTTCGGCTCCCTCACAGATTGAGGGAGTTATGAGGTTTTCTTATGATAAAACTACAAACAGTACAGCTGTGGTGTTTCAAATGAGACAATATGGAAAAATTTCACTTAATCTCTGTATGTGGTTCTGTACATGATCACACATGGCAAGTTGATTCAGTGCAACTAACCATGTTTTGGGTCCATTAACTAAAAACATGAATTCTCTAATTTTGATATTCGAGCATCTGTACAAGTTCAGGAACAGATATCTGGCTAAACTAAAATAAAAACTAAAATAATGCAGAAAAAATGGAATTTTGCTGCAATGAATATAGAGATGTGGTTTACCTTTTTATGTGATTTCAGAATTTATTAAACATTTATTATTCAAAAACAGCTGAAGGAAGTGCTGTCAGATGAGTAGCACAATGCACTATTTAGTGGTATAACCACGCTATCAACACTTCCTTGGCAACGTCCTCATATTAAAGGCACTCTTACTGTCGGAGAAGTATAAGATACAAATAGGAGCAAAACTTCTTAGGTTTGGCAGTTAAAGGGATCATATCTTACATTTTATCTCCTGAGGTCCATATTTGGCATTTGTGTGGCTTTAGCCACCAAAAACAGTCCTATTTCATTTTCACATGATCATTTTCAAACCAAATTATAAAAGCTGTATTTTACTGTGCCTTTAAGACAGATATATATGTAAATGAGCTCTGCTCTGATTGGCTTTGTGCTTCATTCACAAATGAGCTCTGCTCTGATTGGCTTTGTGCTTCATTCACAAAGAAGTCCAGGCTGAAACACTATAACTTCAGCGTGAATGGGTGGGGTTAAACTGCTATAGGCTAGCAAAGAAAATCTGGTTTTCCATAATAGAGGCCCTTAAAAACAAAATCAGCGTTTCGTCAAATTGTTGGTCTGTATACTTTCTTTGTATTCTTGTGACGGAACATAACAAATGTCTAAATAGTGAGTTCAGTATTTTGAATTCTGGCAACCTGAGTGGTTAACAGAGTGTTCGAGTGCCTGGACACATCCCTACCATTAACATTCAGTTTCCAACTTTAGTGTCAGTCGAGTTCAGAATTCCCATTTCACCCCTCGCCCCTACCACTTAGCCCTCACCCTCCGTTTTGTGCGTTCACGTCTAGGGTAGGGTGTCCCGATTTTTGTTGAGACAGAGGGGTAGGGCGAAGTGTTAGGGCTACATGGCCCTCCAGACGGAGTTTTTAGAGACACACTCCAAACGTTGTGTTATGGGGAAAAAAGAAAAAGCGGCAAGTTGGCTGAACAAGAGACCAAAGAAACCCACAAATGTGAGAATTTTCTCTGTTAAAAAATAATCACTGTTTTATCTTAGTTTAATATCGTCTCAGTGTATTATGATCCTTTTCTTTATAACAAGCATAAAAAAAATTCCTAGTACTATGCTAATGTCTCGGTAGCTAGCTAACTTTCCCGTTCCACCTTAAATAGTCCAGCAGTTCTGACGCCTGAAGCACCAGAATGTAACTTCCGCTCCATTTAAGGTGGAACAGGAAAATTTGAACAAGAAGCTGGTAAATATCTAACTCCAGCTTTGTATAACTGAAGAATTAGAGTTGGGTGATAATAAATTATTGCCCCCTCTTTGAAGGCGTATGATGCCCTAAATGTAACTAAAGCCCAGCAGTGAGGAGCTGAACTTTACCCTCCTCTGCTGTCACTGCAGACTGGCAGGGTCGCCTACAGAGCAGCGCTGGTAGCTGTTAATGAAGTGATGCTCTTTTTATTTGAGGGTCCCATTTCATAGGGAAGATTTCAACCGCAACCTGTTGTAGCTCAGTTCCAATGGTCAAGGTGACACTCAAAACAAGGGGTAGGGGTGAAAATAAGAAATGGGACTGGGCCTAAACCACAGTGTCTTATCGTATGCATATTTATTTCTTATTTTATGCCCCTATTTTGCATTGTGCGCTCAACACCTCCACTAAAAAACATAACAGAACTCCAACGCACCTACAGAGAAAAAAGCAGTAATATCTTGATCTAGAAAACCACAGCAGCTGAGCCAAAAAGAGTCTGCTGTGTCCAGAGGAGATGCCACAGCCAAATGTTTTGGCACAATGAACTGCCAGGCTGGAACCCAGCTAATCAAATTAAACCTCCATGAAGCTTCCGCGATGGTGACGACTCTGGAATGGCTCGTATTCTGTTTTATGCGCAGCACTTTTAGCCAAATGTGTAGAGTCTGTAGTTGTGAAACCTCTAGGATGATGATGTGGTTGAACTTTGTCTTCGTGACTGTTTTTGGTCGAAATCCAGCCCCACCTGAGCAAAGCAGTACAGAAAGCCCACCATGGGAAGAGCTATGTTGGACCAGCCTGAGAGAGAGAGAGAGTAGGAGAGAGAGAGAGAGAGAGAGAGAGAGAGAGAGAGAGAGAGAGAGAGAGAGAGAGAGATTACTCATAGGTCAAAAATAAAATATTAATAATAAAACATATACAGATGACTGCACATTCCAAACAATGTATGAATGATTATTTTAAAAATGCCATTCAGAGGAAACACAAACATATACAATACAAACAGCACGAGGAATGAAGAGTGAGACAGAAGAGAGAGAGAGAGAGAAAGAGAGAGAGAGAGAGAGAGAGAGAGAGAGAGAGAGAGAGAGAGATAGTGAGTGAGAGACTATTTATGTAAATATCTTAGTTTGTATTCTTACAGACACACATGTATGTGTGTGCACATAATCTAGTGTGTGTGTATGTGTGTGTGTGTGTGTGTGTGTGTGTGTGTGTGTGTGTGTGTGTGTAAAAATGATACAAATGTGGGACTGAATGTGATACATCTAGTTTAGTTTAAATCAGTCCTTTTATTGCTTTGGCAACAGTTGTTAATGCATTTTAATCTGAATGCCTTAGAAACAGAGAGAGAGAGAGAGAGAGAGAGAGAGAGAGAGGGAGACAGAGACAGAGAGTCAGAAAGAAAGAGAGACAGGGAGAAAGAGACAGACAGAGTGAGAGAGTAAGAGGGAGACAGACAAACAGAGAGTGAGATAGAGAGAGATAGAGACAGGGAGAGAGAGAGGGAGTGAGAGTGAGATAGAAACAGAGAATGAAACAGCTAGATAAAGAGATAGAAAGAGAGAGAGCAAGACAGACAGAGAGAGAGAAAGGGAGAGAGACAAGGAGAGAGAGACAGACAGAGAGTGAGACAGAGAGAGAGACAGAGACAGAAAAAGAGAGCAAGACAGATAGAGAGAGAGAGAGAGAGAGAGAGAGAGAGAGAGAGACAAGGAGAGACAGACAGAGAGTGAGATAGAGAGACTGAGACAGACAGAAAAAGAGAGAGCAAGACAGATAGAGAGAGAGAGAGAGAGAGAGAGAGAGAGAGAGAGAGAGAGAGACAGCGACAGAGTCAGAGAGTCAGAAAGAGAGAAAGACAGAGTGAGAGAGTAAGAGAGACAGCTAGAGAGCGAGACAATGAAAGAGAGAGAGAGACAGCAGGAGAGTGAGACAGCTAAACAACTTAAATTCATATTTTTCCATATGAGGAAGCTCATAGGCCTGACTTAATGCGTTCCCCCACATTTAGCAGTCTGAAGATTTTCCACAAGGGGGAGCTGTTAGCATTCAATGTTTTCTGTGCATCATCGAAACAGAAGAAACTGACATGAACCCACAACAGTTACTGAGTCTCACAATAACTAAATATGTATTATACTGTGTTCTGTTTTATATAACTAACTAAATACAATGTACACAAATCAGACATAACATTATGACCACCTCCTTGTTTTTACGCTCATTGTCCATTTTATCAGCTCCACTTACTATATAGGTGCACTTTGTAGTTCTACAGTTACAGACTGTAGTCCATCTGTTTCTCTGCATACTTTGTTAGCCCCCTTTTACCCTGTTCTTCAGTGGTCAGGACCCCCATGGACCCTCACAGAGCAGGTACTATTTGGGTGGTGGATCATTCTCAGCACTGCAGTAACACTGACGTGGTGGTGGTGTGTTAGTGTGTGTTGTGCTGGTCTGAGTGGATCAGACACAGCAGTGCTGCTGGAGTTTTTAAATACTGTGTCCACTCACTGTCCACTCTATTACCTTGTTGGTCCACCTTGTAGATGTAAAGTCAGAGACAGCAGCTCATGTGTGTCAGCATAGTTTGTGTTGGTCATCCTCTAGACCTTCATCAGTGGTCACAGGACGCTGCCCACAGGACGCTGTTGGCTGGATATTTTTGGTTGGTGGACTATTCTCAGTCCAGCAGTGACACTGAGGTGTTTAAAAACCCCAGCAGCACTGCTGTGTCTGATCCACTCAGACCAGCGCAACACACACTAACACACCACCACCACCACCCTCAGTGTTACTGCAGTGCTGAGAATGATCCAGCACCCAAACTGCTCTGTGAGGGTCCATGGGGGTCCTGACCACTGAAGAACAGGGTAAAAGGGGGCTAACAAAGTATCAGAGAAACAGATGGACTACAGTCTGTAACTGTAGAACTACAAAGTGGACCTATATAGTAAGTGGAGCTGATAAAATGTACAATGAGCGTTGAAACAAGGAGGTGGTCAGAATGTTATGCTGATCGGTGTATATATACTACACTAAATACAATAACTAAATAAGGTCTCGCCATTAAAGCTTACTGAGTCAAACTGATGCAGAGAGACACTAAGAAGAGAGTGTTTACAAGAGAAAGAGTGTAAAAGAGAGCGAGCGTGGGCTTCACTCAGACAGGTGCTGTGCAGGCCGAAGCGGGACAGGAGGCTGCAGTACATCCTCTCAGCACGAGCAGAAACCTGCAGATAAAGCCATTCAGCAGCCTGGGACACTCAGGATTAGACAGGACACAAGACTGCGTCCCACTGAGAGCAGCTCCACAACAGATCAAAGCTGAAATACAGCACTGCACTGAGACTTCAGCCCACGAAACTGACGGACTTTACTGTCAGCAACAAGGTTACAAACGTGTTGCTACGGTGAAAGGGATGAAAAATATTACGGTATTAATGTTAAGACATGCAGAGAGGATGAAAAACACACAGGGTCACATGCACAAACAAAAACTTATTTTTTTCAAAACACAGTAGAATTTGAGTTTATAGTGTTTTTTTTTGTTTGGTGTTATTTATTTATTTATTTATTTTCTCCCCAATTTAGTCGTCTCCAATTCCACCCGCTAGTTAGGACTCCCCCAATCACACGATGCTATCAACGCTAGGAGGGTGAAGGCTAACACAGGCTTCCTCCGAGACCTGTGAAGCCAGCCACCGCTTCCTTTTCGAGCTGCCGCTCACGCAACGTCACTGGACAGCCGAACGCGCTCGGAGGAAAGCGCCAACCGCCAGATCTGTTACATCAGCTAACAGACGCCTGCGCTGACTAGCATCGCGCTGAGTGATGGGGGGAGAAGGAGGGGCCATCCTACCCACCCAGAGAGAGCGAGACCAATTGTGCTCTCTTGGACTCCCGGCTACGGATGGCTGTAGCATCACCAGGGATCGAACTCACGATCTCCTGATGACAGGGCCAACGCTTAGACGGTTGCGCCACTCGGGAGCCAACGAGTTTATAGTGTTTTAAATCTTCACTGTTCACACGTACAATGCTGGCTGATCTTCTCCGTAAATACACGTGTGTGTGCATGTCAATAGTTTTTACTGGGCTGTTTCTGTGTACTGACCTCTGACCTGCTGATCGGTTTATGTGTATACCCACTTATTCAGGCTGCCAACGACTCCATCATGTTATGAATTTACAAACACAACTCCAAAAATGTTGCAAATAAAAACAGAAAGCAATGATCTGCAAATCCACTTTGACCTGTGCTTAAACAAAAATATGACAAAGGCAAGACAAATATTGTTTTGTCTCATCAACCTTATTGTTTATTTGTAAAGATACGCTCATTTTGAAATTGATGCCTGCAACACGTTCCAAAAAACTGCGCACAGGGGAAGTTTAAAACTGGGAACACTGTGAAATGTTCAAGAAACATTTTAAACAGGTGATGTTATCATGTTTTAGTATTAAGAGCAATATACAGGAAAGGTCTGGACCTTCATGAGTGAAGATGGATCAATGCTTGCCACTTTGCAAAAGAAGTATCAGCAAATAATACAAAAATTAAAGAACAACACTCCTTAATGAGAGACTGCAAGGACTTTTAGATATTTCACTGTACTGTACTATGCCCCAGTGGAAGCCTTATGTTGACAACGTCACGAAACACCGCCGACGTCTCTGGGCTCAAGCTCATCTGAAATCGACTGATGCACAATGGAAATTTGGTCTGACAAGTAATCCTTTCAGGTTGTTTATGAAAATAATGGGTGCCATGTTCTCTGGGATAAAAGAGAAAAGAAACATCCAGATTATTACTAGCATGAAGTTCAGAAGCCAGTGTCTGTGACTGTATGGGGGTGTATTAGTGGGTAACTTGCACTGTGAAAGCACTATTATTATTACTGAGAAAAAAACAAGTCAGAGTAGAAATGCTGTCAAGTCCAAGACAAGCCCGAGTTCAATAATATACTACTAAGACCAAGACTAGTCAGAGTACAAATACTAACAAGTCCAAGACATGCCTAAGTACAAATAATATCGAGAACAAGACAAATCTGTGTACAAATACTATCAAGAGCAAGGCATGTCCAGGTACAAATACTATTGAGTCCAAGACAAGCCAGAGTACAAATACTAGTGAGTCCCAGACAAGTGTGAGTACAAATACTATAGAGTCAAAGTCTGGGTACAAATATTATTGAGACCAAGACATGTCGGAGTGCAAATACTAGGATTCCAAAAACGTTTGTGTACAAATACTAGTGATTAAGACAAGTCTGAGTACAAGTACTACTGTGCAAATACTGTTGAGTCTAAGACAAGTGAGTACAAATACTATAGAGTCAAAGTCTGGGTAGAAATACTATCAAGAACAAGACATATCAGAGGGTAAACACTAGCATTTAAAACAAGTTTGAGTACAAATACTACAGAGACCAACACAAGTCTAAGTGCAAATACGTCCCAAACGTGTCAAAACACAAATACTATCGAGACCAAGACAAGCCAGAGTACAAATACTTTTTGAGTATAGTTTGATAACAAGAAAAGTCTGTGTACAGATACTACCAAGTCCAAGAGAAGTCAGAGTACAAATATTTCCAAGACCAAGACAAGTCAGAGTAAATATACTATCAAGACCAAGACAACAGAAAAAAAATTGAATAATATGCATTTTACACCGATCAGGCATAACATTATGACCACCTCCTTGTTTCTACGCTCATCGTCCATTTTATCAGCTCCACTTACTATATAGGTGCACTTTGTAGTTCTACAGTTACAGACTGTAGTCC